TTGTTGGTTAGTGTTGTTGAATTATTGAATTGTTGGATATTGTTGTTGAATTGTTGGTTAGTGTTGTTGAATTCATGAATTGTTGGTTAGTGTTGTTGAATTGTTGGTTAGTGTTGTTGAATTATTGGTTATTGTTGAATTTCTTGAATTGTTGAATTTCTAGGGTTTATGTTGAATTTTGGGGGTTTTTGTTGAATTTAGGGGTTTAGGGTTGAGTTGATGAATTGTGATTGTTAAATATTAATTTGGATAATGTAGAATTGTTGGTGTTGAAATATTGAAGATGTTAAGTATTTGAATTTCTAGAATTATTGCTTGTTAATGGTGACCTAGTGATGCTTAGTTGTTCCAAAGTGGTTAGTTGGATGTGATTTAGAGATGGATTAGTGTGTTTTAGTGTAATGTGTTTTGGTTGTTGTGTAGAATATGGCCGCACAGAATGTAGTTTTGTTGTGCCGGTGGGGAGGTGATTTTTTGTTTGACGGACCTCGTGTCGAGTATAATGGTGGAAATATGGAACCACTGACACTTGAACCGAACATGACCTTCAGTGATTTCATGAACGAGGTTCATAGTAGCGTTAGTTCAAACCCGGGGAGTGTTGAACTAAACATTAAAATGAGGTTTGAGACCGGGAATGGGGTTCAAGTGTTACCTGTGTCCTCGAATAAGCATTTGAAAGCTTTAAGGAGCGTTGTAGCGTTGAAGGGTGTTCCCACCGAGATTTATGTGGAGATGGTGCCTATTTGTACCCAACAAAGTACCAGGGCAGAACCACATTCTACATTTATTTCCGGTAACAACACACAGCCGCAAGTGCCCTCACGCTTAGAAGGGAGTCTTCTGAGACGAGGTATGAACTAGGACTTCCATACCCCCCAAGGTCACTGCCATTCTTGAGAAGAACACTACAACTGCAAGATATCACAGGGTCGAAGCATATAATCGCCGATTGCATATTTACCAGGTCACAACTGAAAGGGGGGAGCGATTTGGTTGCAAGGGAGGTCATAAGCATGCGGTTAACTTTCAACTTCTGACGTGTGCGTGCAACAAACCGAAGATATTCCATCTCCCATGTTCTCACGTTCTAGCCGTTTGTGCGACGTACTCATTGTCAGAGCGTCCATGGGTAGACCCTTCGCTTCAATCAAAGGCCTACACCGACACGTATGCAGCCCAATTCTGGCCTATCCCCTGTGAGACAACTTGGGAGCAGTACGTCGGTTCGAAGATCATTGCCGACAGCAGCATGGTTCGTGGGAGAGGGCGACCGAGGTCAAAACGCATACGCAACGAAATGGATGAGACTAACCGGCCACCCACCAGATGCAGCAGATGCCATCAGCAAGGTCACAACAGGACAACGTGTCCAGCCAGAACGACGCAGAACATTACTTTTGAGTTGTTATTTGGTTTGCTGTAAAAGATAAAACAATAACATTTGCTGTAACAGATAATACTTGTTAAATCATATTTGTGTTTAATCTATACCGTAGTCAGTGAACAGATACCATGGACAGAGAGGTGCATTTGCCCGGACCGCTTGACCCTTCCGTGCTTACACTCCAGGCCACGCACCGGAGCACTGCCGTATGGGATCAATCGGTAACATTTACTTCCTATGCCAACATACTTAAGAATGCTCCTTGAAATTATCGTTTTACACTTACGTTTATGTATTTCATTTGCAGGTTGATCCCGCGAAGCCGCTTGTTTGTAGGCACCACACAGCCAGAGTAATGGTGGGGTGGGCCGTCGAGGCACGCGTCCTAGAGTACATCGAGCTCGCTGGTTTTGGAGGAATTCACCGGATGGCCTTCAGGGCCATCAACCGAGCGCTTGTGACTGCGCTCGCGGAGAGGTGGAGACAAGAGACCCACTCCTTCCACCTTCCTGTAGGGGAGGCGACTGTGACCCTGCGTGACGTCGCGATACTTACGCGGCTTCCTATACACGGGACTCCAGTGACAGGACGCCCGTTAGTCGATCCTGTAGGACTTGTAGTTCGAGTTCTTGGGGTTCAGCCTGCTCCCGAAGATATCCGGGGAACTGGGTTGAGGATAGGTTGGCTACGAGAGACCTTTGGCGAGCTTCATCACGGTGCTGATGACGCCGCCGTTCAGAGACACGCCCGAGCTTACTTGTTCTTCTTGGTCGCTGGCGTGTTGTTCGGCAACAAGAGCGACAGCCACCTCCAGCTCCTACACCTGCAGTTGTTAGACAACGACTGGGACCATATCCGTTCGTACAGCTGGGGTAGTGCTTGTTTGGCGATACTGTATCGCCATCTATGCCGAGCGTCCCACCGTGGTGCAATCGAGATCAAAGGTCCTTTGGTCGTCCTTCAGGTAACTCACCAATTAGTGTAATAGTTTAATAGATGAATAGTAAACACTTACGTTTTAATTCGTGTAACAGTTCTGGTCTTGGGAGCATCTCCACGTCGGGCGGCCAGGTAGGCCAGTCAGGCATCGACCGGGGGAGCTGGATCAAGACGAGCAGTACCAGGCGTACGCCGCTCCCCCTCTTCCTACACCTGACGAGGCATACGGATGCAGGTGGGTTGCCCCTAGACTCACACTTTCCCATGCGGCGAGGAGTCTACCGTACTACCGAGACGCCTTCGATCGACTTACTGAGGACCAGGTATTTCTTCACTTGTACTCTTTATTCTACTGTCTGATGTGTTTAGCGTTCACTGACGTTTTTTTGATGTGTATGTGCAGGTGACATGGGATCCGTACCTTCCTGAGTTAGTGGAGGCCATGCCTGGTCATTTGCTGGAGCATGAGGCAGAGTGGCGTGCTCGGACCCCGGTGATCTGTTTTGAGGTTGTGGAGAGTCACCTCCCTGACCGGGTCTTGCGGTAATATGGGATACCTCAGCCGGTCCCTCAGCCATGTGACACCAGCACTCGTTTGCACGGGGTTGACCGACGAGGAAAGGCAGAGACAGATTGGTCGGTGGAGCATCGTGCGTACGTAGAGCTCTGGCATCGCCGACTGGAGTTCGTTGTGGGCGGTGTACCAATGCAGGGCGTCCTCCAGCCTCACGATCCGTACATGGTCTGGTACCAGCGGATTACCCGGCGTTTCATCAACCCCAGCTACACACCTCCCTCCACCCATTACCATCCAGCATATGACGTGATTTATGGATATGTGAGTTTCACTTCCAACCGATTAATTTTCATCTCTTTTTAGGTTTCTATGCATAACTGATCAATGATTATTGCAGGCGGCAGACATGGCATCGATGGTTGACGCGCTGTCCCTTAGCCTGGCTGACGGGCCCACCGGGAACGAGGTCCAGCGGGTTCGGGATATGGGCATGGCCAGCTTGCGTCGATATGGACACGACTACCTCGTCCCCCAAAGGGACACGTATGATGGCCACTCGATGCATTCGCAGTTCGAGCTCGGACAGAGTAGTTGTGGAGGTGATTTTACGACGCCGACATTCTCAGAGGACTACACCTTCCACAGCACTGCGCCGTTCGGCTCCCAGGAGGTGCCAGATACCAGTCAGCTGACTCCCCCGCCGCCTCTAGACCCATTCACCACCATTACTCATTACAGGCGGCGGCGTGTCAGACAGAGGGCCGAGCAACCTGACCTAGATCAATTGCCCCGGATAGATGAATCGGGATAGTGTTAGCTTAGTTATTTCATGTAGTAAAATTTTTGTATAGATTAGGTATATAACATTTACATTTCTAATATAATAAATGTTTTTCGGTCAACATTTGTGTGTTATGTTCTTTGTTTCCCAATATGTTTTGATTTATGTATATATTGACTTGTCAACGGTGGTGGTGGAAGGTAGTGGTGTGAGGTGGAAGGTTGTTGGAGGTGGTGGTGGTGGAAGGTTGTTGGAGGTGGTGGTGGACGGTTGTTGGAAGGTGGTTGTGGTGGTGGGAGGTCGGGGTGGAAGGTGGTGGACGGCGGTGGTGGAAGGCGGTGGAAGCCGGTGGAAGGCGGTGGTGGAAGGTGATGGTTGGAGGTGGTGGTGGAAGGTGGTGGTTGGAGGTGGTGGAAGGCGGTGGTGGTGGAAGGTGGAAGGTGGTGGAGGTGATGGTTGGAGGTGGTGGAGGGCGGTGGTGGAAAGGGGTTGGAGGTGGTGGAAGGCGGTGGTGGAAGGCGGTGGTGGTGGAGGGCGGTAGTGGAAAGGGGTTGGAGGTGGTGGAAGGAGGTTGGGGGTGGTGTTGGAAGGATGTTGAGGGTTGGGGCAAGAAACTGGTTTGGTGCTGCCAACCAGGTAAAACGCTGCCTGGGGCAGCGTTTTACCTGTAAACATATACAGATAAAACGCTGCCACAGGCAGCGTCTTATGTTCAAGCATAAGACGCTGCCTGGGGCAGCGTTTTATGCTGTTGCCTTTTTTTTTAATTAATTTTTTTAAAAAATAAACGAGGAAAAAAAAAAGTCAAACTATAAAAACGCTGCCTGGGGCAGCGTTTTTGTAGCAGAATTGTTTTTTTTTAAAAAATAGAAAGTAAAACGCTGCCCGAGGCAGCTGTTTACCCCAGAAGCTTATTTTTGTAAATACTTTTGCCACGCAACCATTTTTGTAATTACTTTCGTAACGAAGCTTAGTTTCCTAAAACGTCCCTTACGTGATCCATTCACCAATCCTCAACCACGTGCTCATCATGTGACACCCCCTACAGGATAACTCAAGAATCAACAAGACACAGACAGTCACTACACTACTAAAACCTACGGGGAAACTAAAACCCTAAACTCACACCCCAGTCACCAAACCCCCGTCACCACCCAATCAAAACGCTCCACCACATCACTCTCTTACCGTCTTTCACAAAATCTCCGTCACCGCCATGTTAATCAAAGTTGACCCCGTTGATTTTCCTCACTCTTCCCATCCAACGATCCACACCCTTACACGTGTCCTATTCTCTTCAACTCTCCACCGTTAGATCATTTCCAAATTTCCTTCACTTTTTTCAAATTCTATATTATTCACTCATTTTATTTCCTCTTTTCTCCCTCCTTTTTCTCATTTTAACATTTTCCCATCGAAAACGACTCACCAAATATTTTCTTTCTCTTCCCCTCACACACACTCACTTTCTCGCTCCTCGATTTCGCCGGAGCTCCGCTGTCTTCGCCGCCGCAAACTGGGACCTTCTACTACTCTGGTGACTGAATTAGGGTTTCTAATTTACCAAATTTATTAAATTCATGTCTTTGTGATTTGTAGATTGAGTTTGAGTTTGGTAGTTTTTGCGGCTAACCCTAGAAATTTTGTTTTTGTTGATTCTTTGTTTCAAGGGTTTTGGCTGATGACCGTTCGATTAGCAGAGTTTTGAATTCAACGGGTTGGATTTCGTCGCCGAATGGAGGGAGGTAGCGTCTCTACTGCCTTATTTGTTATGGTACTGTTCATTTCTCCTTTTTATGCGTACGCTAATTTTGCTGGGATTAATTGTACTTCTCACTTTTAATGGCGGTTTGTTGATGAAAAATGCCGTCTTTTCGTCGAATTTGATTGTCCCGAGTGCTTATACTTCACTAGTGGTAATGCTACTGTTACTGGTGTAGTGTAGAAGTACTAACTAATGAAATGCGATTAGGTTGGAAAAGAGTGGTTGTTTTAAATTCGCTTTGATCGAGTTTGCGGGAATCTATAATTAATGAATCTTGAAAGTTTTCGTTTCGGGTTTGAATCAAGTTATAAGTTAACTATGTGCACATGTGCAGATATATGTTGCATTCTTAGATATTAGGTGAATTGTAGATTTATAGACCAAATTGGGGAAATTTTTTTTGGTGTGCCAAGTGCCCAAATTCACGTGTAGTGCTTTGGTTTGGGTTTTAAGGAAGATAGTCCTATATAGGTTCGTCATTGGTTTTTTTTAAAGGAAAGGTATATTTCTCTAATGTGTATCTGCTATACTTAATGCAGTAAGTTTTACTATAGTAAGTTGAATTTATATGTTAGTTACCATTCGAGTCAAAGCATGAGAACCTTGATTCCGTTGGATTTGGATATTTATCTTCTATCGCGGTAATAGTAATTTTGGCTGCTGTTTGGAAGACACTTTGTGCTCTGTCTAACTAACCTTTTTATACGTGGTAATAACTAATAAAAAACTTGTTTCATTTGCTCAAAGACCGAATAGTATGTTACCCCTAAGTGCGAGTGGTGGTCTGAAGTTCTGATTAAGAAAAACCCACAGTTTGAAGGGGTAGGTGAGAAACTTGAATTTGAATTTTTTATTTAATTTAAAAAGCAGTGTTAAAATTGTAGGATTAAAAATTATAGGCTAGAGATATAAGTATATAATATTTTCCTGTTAGTGCTAGATCAATCTGTTTGTTATCTTCATAAAAGTAGCTTAAAGAAAGCAGAAAAGTTGTTCATATAAAATATGACTTTCATAATTATCTGTATTATTTTTTGGGCTGCTAGTACCAATGAGCTAGAGCTTGGCTAGAGCTAGACAGACTCTTAGCTTCCTGAAATTTTAGGAGCTAAACAAAGTTATCCCTTTCTTAACCCCATTACCATAGTTATTGTTTGGTTTCTAAATGAGGAATCAAGGGCAGGCGTGTAGCATATGTCAAAAGTCTTTGAGGTGTATCCTTGATTAAATTACTAGGAGAAACAATCATATTGGCTTGTTATGTTGTTTCCTTACCATGATTATTGAGAACTGCTGGCAGTTTTATTGCTATAAAAGCTGGCAGTTTTATTGTTTGTAGTTAAGGATATTGTTTGTCTAATGCACGAGAAGTACAAATTCCTAGGAAATCAAGGTTCAAGAAGTTGTTTGGTTGGTACTAGCTTGGAAATTCCTAGGCAATTCTACTTCCAACAAAATAGGAGAAGTAGCTTACGGCTTACCTATAGTGGTGTTAAAAAAATTCAACCCGGTTGACCCGACTCTATGACCTTGTGACCCCCGACGGGTAATTGGAGAACTTTTTCCCAAGGTCGGGTACCCGACCCATGAAAATTCTCGGGTCATGGGCCGAGCTTTGATGTTACTCGGGTACCCTTGACCCGCTAGATAGCCTTAAAAAAAAAAACTGCTAGGTTAAAAAAATTTTGGGCTTTTTTCCTCCAAACTTCAGCATCCTCTCTCTTTCTCCTCTGCCCCATCCCTTCTCACACAGTCACACTTAAGGCTGATAATAACCGCGGGTACCTGCTTTTGCGGGTAGTAAAGTACTGGCCCATGACCCGACCCACGAACTTCGGGTACCTGTTCACGAACTTTGGATTTCGCGGGCCGGATCACCGGGTACCCGTTTAAAACGAAATTTAAATTAAAAATGCAATTAATTTATATAAATATATGAAAAAATTGCAATCAATTAATATTTGAACAAATGTTATCTTCATTGTACTAATGGTTACAAACCCATAATAATTTCACATAAAACCAAAACCCAAACTTTGTACTCTTACAATTCATCAGTATAAATGCAATTATTATTGCAATTAACTAAAACCAAAACCCTAAGTTATGAACTTACAAATTTACAATGTTTTCCCCAAATTATGTACTCAGTCCCTCGGTCGTTATTGCCGCCGTCGTTAACTCATCTCCGTCAAGGGTGGTGGTGGTGGAAAGGGGGGATTTGATGTGGTAGTGAAGACAACATGAAGACACCACTGTAACCTCACAATTTCCCTAGTCAATTCCTCCTCTCCAACAAAAAGCTCTCATCATTTAGCATTATCATAGTAATCTAACACTCAACAAATACTCCACCATAACTTCCTGCCAATCTCCGACCACTGTCAAGACCAGGCCACTACCGCATCAAATCCTCCCTTTCCACCACCACCACCCTCAGACCACGGAGATGAGTAAACGGCGGCGGCGGTAACGACTGAGGGATTGAGTACATAATTTGGGGGAAATATTTTAAATTTGTAAGTTCATAACTTAGGGTTTTGGTTTTAGTTAATTGCAATAATAATTACATTTGTATTGATGAATTGTAAGAGTACAAAGTTTGGGTTTTGGTTTTTGTGTGAAATTATTATAGGTTTGTAACACCAATATTCTGTAGATAACATCTATTCAAATATTAATTGATTGCAACTTTTTCATATATCTATATTAATTAATTGCATTTTTTAATTTAAATTTTGTTTAAACGGGCACCTGAAGTTCGCGGGTCGGGTCCTGGGCTGAGTACTTTACTACCCGCAAAAGCAGGTACTCAAAAAGCCTGGTACCCGGTTATGTACAACACTACTTACCTAGCCTCACCTAGTAAATAAACCTTGCCATGGGACTTTCATCTTCCTATGGCCAATTAAACAATTTTGATCACTTACTAGGAAGTGAAAGTGAAAAGCCATGAAGTTACAAATTCGAGGGTAGTGTAACTTTCTACAACCACCTATGACCACAAGGTTTTGTATCAACACATTAGAGATTGATCAGAGTAAAATTTAGGAAATTTCAGATGTGCGGATTATCAATTGACTCTTCAAATGGGCCCTATTTTCTTTGAGATATCCTGGTTGCGCTTTCTCTAAAGGTTGTGATTACAGGACCTAATTTCTTTGAGATATCCTGTTTGCGCTTTCTCTAAGGTTCTGATTACATAGTGGGACTGTTCGTAGGCAATTTAAATCTAAATAAATTTATTTAATAAGTATTAGATGTAATTCCTTTAACTTACTGTGTGTTTAAAAATTTGTGTGAATACTTGGATTGAAGTAAGTGCGATGAGGAAAACTTTAGCTGCTTTGAAGTCTTCATGCGGGCTTACATGATTTATAGACTTTTAAATTATGTCTCATCTTCTGTTTTGATGTGGCTTGCACATACTTTTCCTTTTGAATTCAATATGTATACTTGGATCTTTAGTGCAGTAGTCAATCTTCTGTGGTATTGTCCCTCACAGTTTCTGTGATACCAGGGATATGCCAATGGATTATGATGACAATGATACTTCGCGCCATAATCTTCAGTTAGCTGGTGAAGGTAGATCTAGATCTTCCACATTAAGACCTTATGATTTTCCAAAGTTTGATTTTGATGACAGCCTCCAAGGACATTTGAGATTTGATAGTCTTGTTGAAACTGAGGTTTTTTTGGGTATCCAAAGTCAAGAAGATAACCAGTGGATAGAAGATTTTTCCCGAGACAGTAATGGAATGAAGTTCAATTCAACTCCAGCTGATTCATGCTCTATATCTAGACGAAATAATGTTTGGTCCGAGGCAACATCCTCAGAATCTGTTGAAATGCTTTTAAAATCTGTTGGTCAGGAAGAGATGATGCCTGAAGCGTCGATTTTACTAGAATCGGATGCTACTCACGATCAAGGTATTCCGAGTAAACATGGGGAAACAGGTACTACACTAAAAGAAAGCAATGATGCAGATGTTGTAAACCCTGATGCTGCATTACGGTCTGGTGATGTTCTTGAAGATTCTCCATCTTCCGGAAGGCATATGGTAGGGCAGTTGGAGGACCCTTCAGCTACCCATGCAACGATCGAATCTGCATGTGGAGATTCTAGTAATGTCAATCAAAGTGCTTTGTGTGACAATGGTAGAACATCAACAAATGAAGTTGTGCATTCTTATCATGATTTATGTGCTGGTGAAAAATTAAAAGAATCCCAAATTTCTGTTGAGAAGACTATGAACTCTGGGGCCGTAGGAGATTCTTTGAGTTTGGTAGATGAAGGTAATAATGTCGCTCCTAATATTGGGATTCTTGGCACCTTAAAAACCCCTCTACAAGGAAAACTTAATGCTTCTCATGAAAGCTGCAGTAATGTTGGACAAGAAAGTCAGGTTTCCAGCATGACTGCACTAGAAGACACTGCTATTTTGGAAGGAAAGGCAGGTGTCGCTAGTACTAATATCTGTACTGTGAGCAACTCTCCTAGTTTGACTTCAGAATCTGGAAGGGACTGTCAGGAGGCAAGTCGTCATTTTTTCCGAGATTCTACAAATAACTCAGTTAAAGGAGAGTCTGAGCTGAAATCTTTGAAAGGAGATGATGAAAACACTTCCACTTCAAATCAGACTTTGAGACCTAAAAACGTTTTTTCTGCAAGTAAAGAGGCGAATGAGCCATTTGACGATGATCAGGGTCGGTCATCAATGGATTTTACCCTGCATCCTGCTGAGTTAGGCAGCCTACATTCTGGACATTTTGCAATTACTGAGCAAGATATGGATGTTACTGGGCAGTTGCCTCACAAAAAGGACAATAATAACAAGGAAAATGTATCAGCATTACCATTGAATCATGATAGTATGTCTGGGATGCCTTTGCTTTCCAATGATGACAACGGAGTTTCAGTGAAAAAAACTGATTTTATTGGTGAAACTGATCTTGGTAATTCATCTAATGTGGCAGCTTTGTCTTATGCTGCTGATCACAAGCATACAGAAGATGTTGAAGGATCTCATAGAGAGTCTGTAGTCACTGGAGAGGAATCTGCTGCTAATGTATTTTCTCACGGTAAGGATGTTTCCATTCAAGGGATTCAGGAAGTTCATAGGCAAGCTGATTTTTCTGGAAGCGAGAAGGATGATTGTAAAACAAATGAGGCAGATAAAGAAGTGTCTACTGAGCTTGGGAATATTGAATCTGTGAATGCCGGAACTGCAAAATTTGACCAGAGAACTCAGCCTCTTGAAATAGGTGAAGGGGTTGAAAGTGATAATCCCATTCATAAGTTTCAGCCTCAGATTTCTGGCGAACCGGAATCAGGTACCACACAGTGTATGATACTATGTGCTGACACTATTGTATTTCAACATTTTTTTACAAGTGTTTAGGCAATATTTGTACGATGATTTGCATTATGGCCCTAAACAGTTTTATATGCTAACCTAAGCTCATTTGATTCAGCAAAAAGCGTTTCCCCTCTCGCAAAAACCAGTGCTTCAACTGCTCTAGATGATTGCCCTGAAATTGGACAAAGGGAGCCTCTAGCAGTTGGATTATACCATTCAGCCAATGATTGTGAAGAAGCCGGAACGAAGGAATCTAATGATACAAATATAGGAGCTGAAGCTGATAGCACTTCTAAGGTTGAAGTTAGAGCGGCTGATGATTCTAATGGGATTTCTGAATTGGCTGCAAAGTCTTCGCAACCTGTAAATAAAATTGATGATGTTTGCAGCATTGAACATTCATCAGCAGAAGCTATGAATTGTTTGTACTCTGATCATCTGCAGGTTATCTCTGATAGCAATACGAAGTCAAGTTTGAAGGAGAGTGCTGATTCTCATTTGGTCAGTGGTGAAAATCATGAGAAAGCATTTTCTAAGGAGGAAGAAAGGGACTCTGCACCAAATTCAGGTTTGTATGTTTATTTTGTAATCATGTTACTTCCTGTTTATTCTTATATTTTCCTTGCAGAGTAGTCTTGTTTAGCTACTTTACTGGTTCATTTAGAGCTTTATCCATTTTTTTTGTTGGACCACAAGGCTAAATTTTTTGTTGGTATTAGGAAAAAAAGAAAATATTTGACAGCATCCTTCAACAATATTGACGAACACTTCATTTTGATGAATAAGTCCTACATTGGGTTTTGCTTACGGTTTGTTTGTGGGATGTATCTGTAAACAAACCTTGAGTAAAATATCTCGTGGTCTCTTTAAAATTCCTTGACAAGTGATGTGGAGGGTTTGGAAAAATTTTCATGTGTATACTCATGCTACTTTATAGTGCACAATCTTTAATGCTGCCTATTTTCAATTGTACTCGTTCTTTTCCTTAGTTTTAATCTACTTTCTTCCTTTCACCTTTTTGGTCCTGGCCCTTTCCCTATGTGAATTTTCTTATGTTTTACATTGCTATACTTTTTTTTTTTCCTTTCCGTTTTTTTTATAAGGGATGTCATTGATTTAAGACACATGAGATATTCCTTTAAGGGGCCGTTTGGTTCGCGCAGGGAAATTGGAATGGAATGAACAAAGGGAATGAAAGAGAATGGAATGAAAAACCATTCCATGTAGTGTGTTGTTTGTTTTAAAAATATAAAGGGAATCACCCCACCACAGCACCACCACCACACACGAATGTCGTTCTTCATTCGATTTTCTTAGTCCTTAAAATTTCGGTTCCCCCTAGATTCATCTGAAAATCGTTCTTCAATTCGTTCTCCCTGAAAATTTTGTTCTTCAATCATTTTCCCTGAAATCGATTTGTGAGTCCCTGAGATTCGTTTTTGCAAACCCTAAATCGTCTAGCCCCAAATTGGTTTCCATGGATCTTCATCTTTCATTTCTTGGTTAGGGCTTTTTCTGGGTTTCGAATTGGGTTTCAAGAACAAGGAAGGTGGCCGGATGGGTGATCGGAGGAGGGGGCTGAGTGGGGTTGAAGAGTTGGCGTTTCCGGTGTTGCTGGGTGATTTTCGAGGGATGGGGGAGGTGCGACAACCTCCGGCAAGGGGTGAGGGAGGTACAAACAGGGGCAGGAGTTCCGACGAGGGGTTGGGGAAGATTTTCGATTGAGGTGCGAGCATACCAGAGGTCGGCGAGTGGCGGAGAAGGGACGGCGATGGTCGGGGGAAAAGCGATGTGATGGCTGGGTGGTGGTTGTGCGGTGGGGGTAGGGTAGAAGGGTGGTGGCTGGTGTAGGCACGGTGGTGTAATGCTGACTAAGGAAAGGGAATGGAAAAGGCTAGGGGGGGTGGGGAATGAACTTAGAGGGATTCGGGGGAATGAAGGGGGTAAAGGGGATTGGAAAAGTGGCCTAACAAACAACAACAAAGGGAATGATTCCCGTCGATTCCCATTCCCTTTGTTGAATACCCCCAACTAAACGGCCCCTAAATTTATACTCACTTTGGGGCCATGCCTTGTTTTGTGTCTCCATGTTTTTTTTTTTTTTTTGATAATTTTATGAATACTCCCTCAGATTCTTATATGTAGCAACACTTTCTTTTTTAGGAAATTTGGTAAATTTAAAATAGTTGCAAATATACTTCCTTTGGAATTTGGTTCTCTCTCTCATCATCACACAGGTCTCGTTTATTCAACCCCCCCACCCCCCACCCCAACAAATCACTCTGCCCTCTCCTCATCACGCTGTCTCTCTAATACTTGTGCATCTCTCCCATTTTGCAACATGAAAGAACTAAGTGCCAAAAATGTTTCGCTCCTTAGTTCTCATCTATTACATATTACTAAAGGCGAATTTAAGAGGACACTTGGCAACATTACATTAAAAATTTTCCCTCCAAAAAGTAATTGCTTAAAGAAATTATTATTACCATAAACATTTGCTTTACATAGAAATTAAAGTAAACTTTCCAATTAAAATATTATTTTGTTTATTGTAACTATATATATTAATATGTGGTTATTTCTTAAAATACTTCATACTTTTTATTTTTGATAATTAGTGGGTCAAATCCTTATTTTCATATATTGTCATTACAATTATTTAACAACCGTGCATATATTGCATGGGGTTTAACCTAGTTTTTATAAATTATGGAGAGGAATTGGCTCCCTTATATTTCAATTTGCACTTCACTCCAGCTATATTGTAGCCTTGGAATGAAACCTGAACCCTTTGACTATAAAAATGAATGGTCAGCTGGTATCATTCTTGGTTAGTTCTCTATCATTTGTGGATTAATTTACCTGTTTTGTATTTTATCTTTGATTGTTTTCCATGCTGATGGTCAAAAAAATAAATGCATTAGTAGGAGCCTTTCGTCTTTCAAACCTCATTGGTTGGGGAATTGAGACACAGATTTTTCTCGAGTATAACGTAATTTTCCTTAGCTTCTTGCTCACTTTTTGAGTTTAATAATGTAGCAACAATGAACTGCTGTGATGCTTCTTACTCTCATTTCAATACTGTTGCTCTGGTAGTATCTTTCTTCAGTGAGGTAATTTGGGAAAGCTTGTAAGTTTTGAACATTGGACCTTGAATAGTTGATTTGCACTTCCAACCGCACTCTAAAAACGTGTTGATTAGTGTTTAAATAAGTATGCAGCTAATACATGGCAGCACAAAGGGCGATTTCAGGTGCAACCAGTGTGTATTAATGGCGCGTGCCTAGACGCTGTGGCGTTGGGGGATGTAGGCCATGCATCTTTATTTTATTCTAGGTGAGGTGATTTAGATGTGGGGTGCTTAGGTGCTCTAAGGTGCACAAGTACTTTTTTTTAATAAGAATATTTACTTTTTGATGAAGCGCACTCATGTTGCCCCAATGCGCTACCAGACTTCGTATATTTCGGGTGCTACAGGCTGCCGTAGAAATGAGAAGTGTATTGTTAGGTGACAATTGACTGTCTTTTTCATCCTTTTTGATATACAAGATCGTGTTCTTATTTTATACTGTATCATATTGATGGATTATTATGGAAAATTTTGTGACCTTTTTAATTTATTTGCACAGCATGTGATTCTTTTAGTTTATTTATTTATTGTTTGTCTAAAGTTTATTGCGTTGAAGACTGTTTTTGAGCATAGAAATGTGCACTTTTCTGTGCCTATAAACTCTTGGACACTTATTGCCTGTTGTCCTTACACCTTGGTGCTTAGGCCTCTTTTAATGTCCTTATCATGTTCTGAAAATCTGAATGTATACCTACTGTGGACTTGAAGTGCAACCTTTCCATGATGGATAGCCAAATGTCTTTTACAGTTTCTTCAAGCGAATTGACTTTCGTTTATCTTTTCTAAAATTTGAAATCTTTCTCCACAGAATTTGACAAGACTTCTTGTGGTTCTCCGACCATCATCAGCTCAAGTGAGCCTTCTCAAATGGAGAAGGATAACCATGAGGAAGGTAGGAGTCATATCTCTGACGAGGTTGTCAAAGATATTCAATCTACTTCTGAGGACCCAAAAAGGAAAGATCTATTGGTAGAAGATAGCAGCTTCACATTTAAAGTTAACATATTGCCAGATACGACCGAGAAAGAACCTGCAAAGAGTTGGTCTCCATTCCCTGATGTTGAGAAACGCAAGGTAATACAACGGCACGTTTTATTTTCCAAGTGTATCTATCGGATTGCCATACTTTCAATTTCAGCTTCTTTAGGAAGAGTGAGTTTATTTATGTGATTAATTTTTTTATTTTTTATTTTCAAAATCTATTATCTATTACTAAAACAAAACGTTGCTGACGTCATCACTGTTCACATGTCACTCACATAATCACATAATAAATTTTTTCCTGCCTAGAAGCAAGGATGATTTCATCTTTTTTTTTTTTTTTTTTTTTTTTTTTTTTTTTTTTTTTTTTGGGAGCTACCATATTTAACAATTTTGAATATTAGAAGCTTCTACATTACAACTACAACATATCAATTTATCTTTAAAAAATGAAACAATTGTAAATAGCACACTAATAAATGGACTCTTACCTTGAAATATGTATTAGGCGACGTTGAACAGGTATTATATCATAATTTTGATGAAATTCTAAAACTATAAAATTACAAATATTTTTGTACAAGGTGCATAATTCTTATTTATATTTTTCCATTTTTTTAAATGTACAAATTATAAAAATAGATTTTATATAAAACGTGCATTGCACGGGTTCCAACCTAGTAACTTTATAAAAGATCATATTTTGTAGAATCCTTGAAAGGTACATGTTTTCTTTCTTTATCTAATTACCTATTTGCTTTGTTAAATTTCTTTTAAGGTTTTCGAGGAGACTGCACCTTCTAGCAAAGGTAAGACCGAAAGAACGACGTTACAGAAAACTCCTCGCCATAATGCTCGAGTATCTGATGGAGAAAGTGGACCTGTGGGCTCTAGAGGCACATCTGAACGTAAAGGACGTCGAGGATCTGCAAAAGGAACTGCCAAAGAGAATTCTAAGAAGGGGAATCAATTGAAGGGTCCAATTCAGGAAAATGCATCCATGAACGCGGACAAAGTTTCCAATATGCAGTTGAGCGCACCAATTAGCAGTCCACTTGCTCAGTGTGGGCAAATGCAAGCCTATGGGAGTATTGAAGGAAGTATCAAAAAGCCTTTTGGAGTGGTTGCTGTTCCTTCATCAAGTTTACCAGATTTGAATACTTCAGCTTTGAACAATTCTACCTCTCCATCAGCTTCATTCCGACAGTCTTTCACAGACATGCAACAAGTTCAGTTGCGCGCACAGATATTTGTTTATGGTTCTCTAATGTTGGTTCTTTTTCTTTCTTTCCTTTTTCCTTATATATATATATATATATATATATATATATATATATATATATATATATATATATATATATTTCATCTATGCTTTATGTTGATTTATGGCTATTCTTGGGGCTATGTATTTTGGAGGCTATTTATTCTGCCCATCTAATAACAGTTCACTCTAATTAAATAAACTTTTATTACCATCTGTTTTCTGAATTAATATGGTTAATTTGGTTTTTGCAGTCAAGGGACTGCTCCTGATGAGGCCTGTATGATTTCGGCTTTTGGACCGTCTGGTAGGTTCTCATACAAATATATTAAGTATAGCTTCATGAGTCGACAAAATTATAGTGGCTTCTGACATGTCGCTTTTGACTTGTCTCTTATAGATGGAGCACGTAATTCTTGGGAATCAATTTGGCGAGTTGCTGTTGAAAGGGTTCGAAATCAAAAATCTATTTCCATTGCTGCTGAAACACCTTCCCGTTCACAGTCAGGTACAGTAGTTAGAGTTCATGCTTTCTAATTCTTGTTCTTTTGAGTTCATCCTCCTTTTGCTAATGCTAATATGGAGCACTTTAGGTCCTAGGGGCTCGGATGGTGTTAAACAAGGCTCGCATTCAAGCAAAGTGCTAGCTACACCTGTGAGTAGAGGCACCAACAAAGACACCCCTGCAGCGGCTGTTAATCCAATGATTCCTCTATCATCACCACTTTGGAACATTTCGACACCAACCCGTGATAGCTTGATGTCAAATGCTATGAACAAAGGCCCTGTTGTGGATTTTCAACAATCAGTTACACCTGGGCATTCTTTTCAGACTCCACCGCTAAGAAATTTTGTTGCTCATACATCTTGGCCACCTCAGACATGCTTCCCTGCTCCCTGGATGGCTTCTCCACAAACTGCTGCCTTCAGTTCAAGTGCTCGATTTCATCCGGTGACTATGACTGAAACAGTGAAATTAACTCCCGTCAATGACACTTCAGCGGTGTTAACATCTACTGCAAAGCATACAACTCCTAGTCCTGCTATTCAAAATGTGAGTTCCAGCCCTTTATTGGGAGGAGTGTCGCCACTGCAAGATCCAAAGATAATGGCCTCAGCTGAGCAGCATATTGTAGATCCAAAGCCTAGGAAGAGGAAAAAGGCTCCTGATTCTGATCCTGGCCAGGTCTCCTCAGTCTCTAAGGCTCAAACAGGAGTGGTAATTTCAGACGTGGCTACTTTTCCATCCTCATCTATAGGTTGTCCACCTCCTGCTTGTCAAACTTCAGATGCTATTCTAAGCAATTTTGTTGTTGATGCTTCTAGAGTTTCTTCCATTGAACCACCAAAAAAAGTTGATGGAGACACAGGAAAAGCTGTCTCTTGCTCAGAAGAAACGTCGAGTAAGGTTGCAGAAGCTAAGAGTCAAGCAGAGAATGCTGCAGATCTTGCCACTGCTGCTATTAATCACTGCGAAGATCTGTGGAGCCAGTTGGCTAAGAAGGACTCTGGATTGACCTCAGAAGCTGAAGTTAAATTAGCTTCGGCAGCAGTTGCAATTGCAGCTGCTGCATCAGTTGCTAAAGCAGCTGCAGCGGCTGCAAAGATTGCTTGTAATGCTGCACTGCAAGCAAAGCTTATGGCTGATGAGGCTATTTATTCCAGTAAAACTGATTGTTTGGAGCCGTCTAGTGGAAAATTTTCTAATGATGTGCACGATATAGGAAATGCTACACCGACATCCATTTTAAAGAGTAATAATGTCGGCAGTCAATCAAGCTCAATACTTCTAGCTGCAAAGGAAGCTGCTAAGAAGAGGGTTGAAGCAGCTTCTGCTGCATCAAGACAAGCTGAAAATTTGAATGCCATAGTAAAAGCTGCAGAGCTTGCTGCAGCTGCAGTATCCCAAGCTGGGAAAATTGTTGCTATGGGCGAGCCTTTGCCTTTGAATGACTTGATTGAAGCTGGTCCAGAAGGCTGCTGGAAATCATCTCAACCTTTTGCAGTGTTGGCGGAAAAGGCAAGGGATGGGAATGCTGAACAGTCAGGTGCTGTTAGTTTTGAAAACAATGCTGATGTGCCTGCCTGTAGTCCTGTAGAACATTCTGTAGGGACGGGAAGATCCAGGATTGTAGGTGTGGATGATATACATTCTACAGAGGGATTGAATGGCTCCTTGAATGTCTGCCTGAGTTCATCAGTTGGCATCATGGGCCCCAAACATATGGATAAAATGGACTTCAGGTCTGGGATAAACCGTAATATTCCTGACGCGTCAAAATCTGGCAGAGTGGCTTCAAAACCCAATGCTCTCCAGGGTACCACTAATTTTAAGAATGAGCTTGAAGTGGGCTCACTTGCTGAGGAAGAATTTAAGGAGGGTTCTTCTGTTGAGGTTTGTATCAATTAGAGTTTCGCTTCCCATTCGTTGCATATGCATGAAAATACCAAGTATCTGGCTTTCTGAATTTTAGCAATCTAGATTACCCTTATTTTTGTTTGAGTAACTTGCATTTGTTAGTATCACTAATAATTCTTTTGGCTATTGGCTTGATTTAGCTTCCTCTCTGTGCTTTCCTTATTTCTTTCTTTTTCTCCTTTTTGAAAGGTATTCAAGCCTGGAAATGGCCTCAAGTCTGCCTGGTACTCTGCAAATGTCTTGAGTTTAGAAGATGGAAAGGCTTATGTATGTTACAACGATCTTTTGTCTGAGGAAGGTATACCCTATATCTCGTATCACTCCATGTCTTTTGTTACTTTCCCTTGCAGAAACAATATTGATTAGAGCTTCTCTGACTATGGAAAATGAAATGTTTTGCCGAATAATATATGCTCTGTGCTGATTCAATGTGGAATAAAATGATATATGGGTCTCAGTTGCTTTTAGTACCTACAACTTTTAAAAGATTTGGCTATCGTGTGCAACTAGATAATGAGGCAAGCGCAAGAGTCTTGGTCATGATGATAGTCTTTGCATTAATATGTGCAAGTCCATCAATTATGCGGCTGCTCTTTCTTTGTTTCTTTTTTTTTTTGGGTGGCAGAGGAGACCATATATCTTGTAATTTTATTTTGCATTTCTTTTCACAAAATGCTGTTATTTTTGGGGCATTTTTTGAGAAGTGGCAAGAGAAATGTGTGTAAATTTGGGGGGAGGGGGTCTTGAGAGGAAAGGAAAAATTACGAGGACTACTCAAGCACCACCTAGAAACTTTGCGTCTGATGTGTGAAGATGTGATATTGCTAAAGATGAGCGCCTCTGTGGGCCTAAGAGCTTTGCAAATGGTGCTATTCTAAGGAAGGTTGTGATTGTACAGTGGTTGCTAGGTACTATGTGCTTTGATGATTTTTTGGATGACTTCCCCTTTTTTTTTTTTTTTTTTTTTTTTTTTGGTTTATTTGTTTGTTTATTTGGGTGGAGGAGATGGGAAGAGAATTGGAGGGATCCGTGTTCCATTCCCTACTAGGGACCTGGTGCAAACTTCCATTGTTGGAATGAATTGGACGGAAAATGCAAGCTCACTCCTTCCCTCACCTCACCTCCATTTTCTGTCCCTCCTTCCTTTCCATGATAGCCATGTAAAGATCCTGTTGCAGTATCAGCAACATAGCATGATTAATCAATTAATCAAGTACCTTACCTATTTTAACTTTGTCATACATGGGATTCTATTTGTTTTTTTGTTAGTTGTACTAGATTATTAAGAAATAAAGGTTCTGTATTTTTGGATAGTTAATATTTGACTGAGGAATTTTTAATATAACACAGTTGTACTTATTTGTCTAATAACTAAAGCATGAATATTAGGTTTTAATTGCTGTACTGTAAACTGATTTTGAACTTTCACAGTGGCTGATCACATACTGGCTAGAAGCTAGATAAATTTTTGCATGGGGTATATTTCCACTGTATTCTGTTCCATATTATTCCTGAAGTAAATTTTGAAACCACTTTTCTCTCTCTTACATCCCTTTTAATATTTTTTTATTAATTGTGTTTCTTAAAAATTCCCTTGTTTCTCTCAGGTGTTAAGATGTCATCTATTTAGTGACATTGTATTTTTTTTGTTATACTGTAATTTTTCATCTGTGAACTGCTTAATTCAGGCTCTGGAAATCTCCGGGAATGGGTACCTCTTGAAGGTGAAGGGGATAAAGCGCCTGTTATACGTGCTGCCCATCCTTCGACTGCTTTGCAATATCAACAAACACGAAAGAGACGCAGGGCTGCTCTTGGAGATTATGCTTGGTGTGTTGGAGATAGAGTTGATGTGTGGATTGATGACTGGTACCGAATCTTCATTAGCGTATAATTTTTGTTGGTGTACCCGTTGTGCTATGTTTTGTTAGTGCAAATCTCCGTCATTAATATGAGATGTGTTCTGATGCTTTTTTATTCCCCCTCCTTTTTCAGCTGGTGGGAAGGTGTGGTGACTGAAAAAAATGAAAAGGATGACACTACATTAAAAGTCCACATTCCAGGTTCTTATTGTATTTATATGCCATTGTTACCTTGTTTTTTCTAAGGAAATTACTTTATTCTGACTATTAAACTTGCTGCAGCCCAAGGAGAGACCTCAACCGTTAGGGCGTGGAATTTACGGGCATCACTTTCTTGGAGTAATGGGAAATGGATTGAATGGTCCTCTTCAAGAAGACAAAATGCTTCTGAACAGGTATTATTTTAAGGATTTTCTAAGCATAGCTCTTATGCCTATGAATACTTAAGCATATGTATCTATTGTTATCCATAAAACTCATTCCCTCAGGGCTGTATAAATTATGAGTAACTTGAGGAATAAGTTAGGGACTTAGGGTGTAGTTAGGGAAGAAATTCTAAATTCATGGATAGGGAAATAATGTCGAGCGATGATGATTTTTTTGTTTAACATGTAGGTTTTAAATTTGTAGATGATCAAGGCTTTCAAAAACTTAAATATCATTTGCAATTGCTTTAATTTCCAGCTTATCAATCAATCAAATCTTATAGAGCGTAATTTGGTCTTGCTTTATTCCATTTGTTAGTTTCTCCTTCACATTGTCAGAAGCAAATGTCATAAAATTCTGTTTGTTAATAAAGCTCCTTTTGAGTGATATTTTCTGATTCAATTTTTGTCATCGTAATGAATCCTTCTGATGGATTCCTTAATACTTTTGTGCAGAATGATACACCACAGGAGAAACGTCAAAAGCTGGAAATTCCACAATCAGCTACTAAAGCTAAAGATAAAGAATCAAATAATGTGGATTCTGCTCAGGGGAAACATGAACAGTCAAATTCTTTTAATTTTTCTACTAGTGAGAGAACTTTTGACATTGGTAAAACTACCAATGATGATAGCAAGCGTGTTGCGCGTCGACCTTTGAGAACAAACGAACAAAAGGAGGGATCTAGAGGAGTAGTTTTTGGAGTGCCTAAGCCAACTGGAAAGAAGCGGAAATTCATGGAAGTCAGCAAGCATTTTCCGGCAACTAAAAGCAATAAGAGTGTTGAAGTAAATGACTCAGCCAAATTCACAAAATATTTGATGCCACAGGGAGCAGCTCAACGTGGATGGAAAGCTCCATCAAGAAATGATTCCAAGGAAAAACGAGCAGCTGAATCCAAGTCTAGAGTTCTTAGCACTCGTAAAGCTCATCATCGCACCCTGCCTCTTAAAGAAAACTGTAGGTCTACACTGACTCGAGATGTTGAAAATTCGATGGGTCATGGAACTGATGTGGAGGATTCTGCTGGTCATGATATTACATCAGAAAAGTTGATAGACCATGGCTCGGATGCCTGTGAAGATACATCAGAAGCTCCTTTGTCGTCTTTACTTCCTCATTCTCTGAGCACTGGATCTAAGAAGATCCCTTCATCAAATACCAAGTCTGATAGACTTAATAGAGTTAAATTAGGGCCTTCTGGTGGAAAGTTGAGTAAAATTGAGGAGGACAGAGCCTACTCTGCTAATACTGATAAATCAAACCTGGATGGTTCCGAGCCTCGTAGATCTAATCGCAGAATCCAGCCAACACATAGAGTAAGTTTTCTATACTGGGAACTCTTACATACATACGTACATATTTGCATCCATGGAGGATGGTTGATAATGTATCCAAATTTGTGTTCTGCATTTCTGCAAACTGTGTTTATTTCTGCATCAGGTGTGGGTATACTCGTATAGTATTGGCTAAACTTCTTTAGAATATTCTTAACGCAACATAATAGAAAATATAGTGTCTCAGATTGTGAAGCCTAAAATTTCAGATCCAAAAATAATATGACCCAGACAAACTTGATTCTGCACTAAATGAGACTCGTGAGAATATGACATAAGCTGTAAAAGCTAATATTTGGATTAGTGTAGAACAGTTCTGATTCCTCTGAAGATGGAGTTTCACTAACGTTCTCTGAAGTCAGTTTTGTTTTCTGTTTATTTTTTCTTTTTAACTAGAATATTATTTCAAATCGTGGTCTTTAAGCCTTCTGCTATAATCTCTTGTTACTCTTCTGCAATAGGGTTTGGTGCATTGCTGCAAAATTTAAGACTAGTTTATGGGTTGGAAGAGGGAAAATGTATTTACCTACTCCGTGGCCATTTTTTTGTCCAATCTGCTGGACATGAGCTGTTGAATTTTAGGAGAATCTTATGACTTTTCAGGTTTCTATATAGTTTCTGTAGTTGAAGACTGGAGAGACTAATCTTTGCTAGTATCTGTACCATACTGTTGGAAAATCTTAGGTTGCTGCTAATTAATCTTAGTGGGTTTCCCCATTGTTGGCCTACATGGCTGCATCTTTATACTCTATGGGGTCTTCCATTAGGAGGTCATCTTTTCTAAGTACCTTTGGATTTATTTTCTGTCACCTTAATGTCAAATTAGTATTCATCTCTTGGTGTACTGAATTGATAATAGTCCTGGAACCTAGTTACAGCTGTACATGGTTATTCAGGAACAAAATAATAGTTTTTATTTTAAGTGGAATCATAATGAAAACACTAATGTTTTCAAGTTATGCACTGTAATATCACTAAATATAGGACACTATTTTTTATCATTATAATGGTGTTGGAGACACCCCTCTTTTATGTCAGCGTCTGGAGGATCCAGGGGCAATCGCTCATTGAGCTGTGTGCTTCAGATGTGCTTTTTAATTCATTAGTATGTACAGGGTATATGAGGGATGCACGATTAAGGTACATTGTGTTTTGATTACTTGTTCTATGAATGTTAAAAGGTGATTGATTGATGTTTTTTAGTGGGGAGGAGCTAGGTACATGTCTAACGGACCTGTTGTGAAGTATTTTTGATTGACTTGTCTCTTAGATGTTGGATTACCCATAAGCTCTCTTTGCTACTGGCCTCTGTCATCTTGTTGGATGCTAATATCAAAATCTGGAAAGGTGTTATTCTTGTGTTGCTAATTGTCTCCTACAGTTAGATATCATTTTAGTGAAAACAAGATCCTAGCCTTTTGGTAGGGTATTTTTCACTGGTATGTAGTTTTATACACCAAAAAGCACTATTGGCTTTTAGCACACTTTTCTTTATGATTATTTGGTCTCAGGAAGGCTTGGAATTGAGCAAAAGTGAATGTGCTCTTTGCTCTTTATTGATCCATGAGAGGGCCGAACTAAAGGGCATACCTCTCTTGTGGATTGGGTTGGTGGTGAACCAAAAGGCATATTCCTTGCTGATTATGTATAGCCATTAACAGACTTGGCTTGTATCTTACGTGATGGTGCTCAACATCCAAATATGAGCACTAACTTTGAATAAGGAAGTCTCTCTTACTTATGGCTGGCTGCATGTGAATATGCATGAGCTTCATATGACTTGCTTGGCTAACTGAAGTTATTGTATTGCAGCTATTAGAAGGTCTACAAAGTTCGATGGTGATTCCCAAGATGCCTTCTGTTTCACATGACAAAGGTCGTAGGAATTTGCGAGGTATATTATCTGTTTCTCAGTGCACAATTGTACTATGTCTTAATGAGATGAAACTGACTACCATTTTTACAGGAAAATAACTTTAGGAGACATTCTATCGTGAGGTTCATCCCAATTCTGGAAGCGAAGAAGGCTGCTGATTGATTATTAGTCCACAGGCAGTCTGTATATTTATAGTTACTTTGTTAGGAGCTAGGACTGGAATTTCTCAGTTTAGTTTTAGTTGTAAAATCTGCTCTGTAGATGTTTATATTTGATTGTAGGTCTTTAAAATGTGGATCCTACTCTCGGGTTCCTCACTCAGACATTTGTACATGATTGAGCTTGGTATAAGGCTTTAAGATGCCTTTCTATAGCATTTTAGTTTTTCAATGGTTGTCATCTCATGTTTCGGTATTTTGTTGTGGATTCGAAGCTTTATTTCTTCGAGAATGAGTGGGCCTTTAATAAGGTTGATGTGGTTGGTCAATTATGCCCTAAATTATATACTTTGTACGAGTATAAGATATGTTATGGTAAATCAGGCAAAGGTTGGACTTACGAGTGTATATTGCATAATATACTTTATGATAGTGCTTATTTTGCGCTAAACAGCTGGTTGATGATAATTGGCTGAACTTAAGTATGCAAATATTATCCATATTTGGCATAAATACTGTAAATTTCACATCAATTCTATAATTAGTAAAATTTGAAATCTAAGGTTTAAACTTTCAACCTAAGTAGTACTACGTATCACCAACCGATTTTACTTGTTTGTTTGTGTACAACTGCACATGCCATATGACTACTTGGCCGAGGTGTGGTTAATATAGTTGTTGCCAAACAATGCATTCGCCTTGGTTTGATGAAGTGAGAAAAGCGTGTAAGCTAAAGCATTAAAGCTAAGCGTTGACAGGTTACGGAGTGATACAAAGTTTGTATGATTAGCTTGTTCTCTCTTCTAGAGTTATAGGGTTTGTTTAAAAGCTACCAAATGATCCTACAGTGACAACATTGAGTATGAGGGTCGGTTGCTGAATCATTTCGGCCACACTGAAACGTACTTTTTGTTCGTATTTGAAGAGAAATGACCAATAAGAAGTTTGTAATTCAACTAACGAACCATGAATTAAAAGAATGAACACATCGATACAAAATGTTGCTTTAGCAACGAGTTTGTCAAACAACTGAGAGAAAGGCCTAATGCTAGGTCACACATCTTGGATCTAATCACACATAAAAAATCAGTTTCAGATCTAGCTACATAAGCTGCAAAAAACATTTATAAACAATTGGAGGTCATCAGAGTGTTCTAAGTTTCTAACTGATATTTACATCAATCTAGCTCGAATTTTGTTGACCAATAACCACTCAAAGGAAATTGAATCTATCATGATATCACCTTGAGGCGCGTGATGAAAATTAAACACAATCACAATCTAGGCAAAAATTCATCATCTTCTGATGACCCCAACCGTTCTGTAATAGCGGTGTTGTTTGATCTTCGCCACCTCTCACTCTCAGAAATGTCAAGTTCTTCACTAGTGTTGTTAGTAGGTCTCCTACTTCGCCTTCTGCATATGCAAGCGGCTGGAAATTCATGAAATTCACCCCTTCCTGGCTTCATTTCATCGGGTTCACCCATGAATCCCCTCTGAGCTGATTTGACCTTTTTTGCAAATGTACGCCAATCCATCGTGTCCCTTGACATGAATAAAGCGCTAAGCCTTTTTGCATTTGGTTTAATTGTCCTCTTGTGCCCCATATACCTCCTGAATAAGAAATTAGATTGCTAGAAATAAGGTCTTTGAGGGTAAAAAACAAGTTTACTGCATGAAGAGTTGCATGCCAAAAGTTGAACTTAGCAAACAGAGGATTTTGACATATTCTACAAGGGGAATTGCTTAAACAAGTGGTTTTTATTTTTTTTAAAACTCCATACACAAATATTCTTACCCTATCTACATTATACAGCTTTTCTCTGACCTTTCTTTATCCAGGGTATTTGCTACACCAGTATTGATGCTCATATATTAGCTTAACAGAATCATGTTTGGTAACACTATATACATTCAGAACAGCCTATCTATTGATTTAAATTTTAGGAACTACTCATTTAAAGAATCTGCCAATTAGAGCATGAAGTGCAAGTCAGAAATTGCAAGAGCTCAAGATACACCAATTCAACATACTCATAATAATAAAGAGATTATCAAATAGACCAATAGTCATAGAAAGACTTCATAGCATTTCAATATTCATCAAGTTTCATTTCCACTGAAATTACTTCAGCAACAGATGTCAATGATTATGCTGTTTTTATATGTAATCACAATAAAATTCTAATAGACAATAAACATTCTTTTTCATAATGGCACGCAACTTATAAACAATAACATGATGACATGCCTAGAAAACATTCAATTTGCATGTTCAAGAAAACCTTTAATGGTGCAATCAAGAAAACATTAGTTCTATGTCAGTCAACCACTAAGCAAAGTACAATCAAAAGGATGCAGTATATGCATTTAAGTTAATATCCCACAAATATTCTGGGTAACCTTAGTTACATAAAAGGAAACTATAATGCACATATTGTCAAACAAGAGGTCACACAACAGCTTGAAGGTAAAACAAGTAGCTTTTGAATTGGATGGCCAAGTGCTTGGAAATGATATATAATTGGACGATTAGGTTTGTTCAACTGCCTATACAATTCCTAGCCTATGTGAGTGTCCATGTCCAAAGTTCTTATACGTTATACCCCCCTTCTCTTCCTCCTACCTTTTATATTCTCTTATTACTTTGAACTTATTCCCTTTATATTCTTTTATTACTTTGAGAGCTTATTCCCTTTATATTCTGTTATTACTTTGAGAGCTTATATTTTAGCCTATGTGAGTGTCCAGTTATTACTTTTAGAGCTTTTCCTAACATCAGTTTCAAAGAGGTGTTTTCCTAGTTCTTTTACAAATACATTTCCACAACTCATGATTATTAAGGTCAAACGGAGGGAGAAGTTTGGACATGGACACGGTCAATTGTAAGCTTATAAATTCTTAAGGCTTATTCTGTTATAACACGGTCAATTGGTACCATTTTTGTTCGGCCGTTTACAAGCATACTATAAGCCTTAAGAATTTTATTGCAAGCATCTGCTGTCAACTATCAGCATTTAAAACTCTTAGCAAATCACAAAACAAAAAAAACCTGTCAAAAGATTTCAGAAAAGTTCCAGATTTTTGTTTACCCTATAAGTTGGAAAGTTTGAATCTTACCTGCGACCTGCTAGTATCTTTGCCATATTCCCATTGTTGTTGGTCACAAATACGTCACTCTCATCACATACTATGTAGTCAATAGCAGCAAGACGAGAAGAAAAAGGCACAAGCGAATTCAACTCCTCTCCAGCAAGGATCTCCTTTGTGTAAAAGTTAGGAAAAAGTTCCCTAAGAGGTTGTAGAGTTGCCTCCCCACCATATATTTCACCAGACGCCACATAAAGGTAGGTGTCATTCTTATAGCCAAGTGCTCGCAGCATTACACCAACTTCTTCAGGAGTAAGTGGACATTTACCTCTTTTACGCTCTTCAAGAGGGCTCAAATCCTAACAAACAACAGAGGCAATTAGCAAGAAGCAGATTAGAATTATAAGTCAGGTTTATGGCCAAGTCAGAAAAGTCATAATTCAATTTTAATGACAAGAAAGAACAATATCCACATTCTAAGTAAGTTGACCACGTAATTCTTATAACTACAAGGCATGACATATGGTCACTTGGTTCTACTAGAAAAAGTAAGTTCCACTAAGATGATGAACTCCTGAATTCATCAAGATTTGTGACAAAGTCAAATACCTTGAATCATCACACAGGAAGCCATAAAAAAACTACCACAACTATTTCTTTCTGAATTTTAAAATAAAGAAACATTAAGTTATCAGCAAGATGAAATCATAGCCAACACTTAAAAAGAGCATTTATCAGTGGTGTCATGCTTCACAAAACTTAATGAGCTAATAAGTTGTCAGCAAGATGCATTAGGTTTACAGATTATATGCTGGTCACAAAACCTTGAAATGTAGTCTATAGCATCTTAATATGTTAAGGTTAGTTCAAATTGTTAGCCATAAAAAAGGGTATTACACTGACTGTCAATAATGAACATACAGTCATGGATGAGCAGTTTATCAAATTGCAGAAACTGCAGGTTTTATACGCACTAAATGAACTCCAATGCAATTATTTAGGTAATTCTTAGGATCATGCTTCTTTCTTAAATTCCCTCTTTACTAAAGAAGATGTGTTGATGGACAGGATCACACCACACCATATAGGAGATCGAGGACAGGGTTTTTAGGATTTAAAACTGGGTTTGATGCCCATGGAAGCAAAATTGGAATCACTTCAAAGCATAATTCAATTACTGTATGTAAAGAAACCAGTGTTGCCTATTGTTCATACGTAACAGTTGGTAACTGACCATTTGAAATCTATAGGTACTAGCAAAACTTAATAGTAGGGGTTGCCACCCAAGTACGTGATAATAAGGACAAAAACAAGGAATGAAAATGGTAAAGTTGAAAGCAATAAGAAAGAAAGAAATCTCACAGGTAACGTGTCCCATCGTTTTCTGATTTCACGAAGTTCATTTATTTCCTTTTCACCTCCACCATAGTAGCACCCAGAAAATGCAAGCATATCAGGTTCGAACCTGCACATGTTGGATTATTGAATATTGGTAGCAGGAAATAGCATCATCTCGTTTTAAGTTCACAATTAATATTATCAGCATAAAAGAGCAAAGAGAAGCTGACAAGATGTCACTGATGTAAGCATTTATTTATGGCCATAAAGGATAGAGCACAAACAATTAAGCACAGCAAAGCATGAACTCAACTTTACCCTATCAAGACACTAATGACTAATTTCAATCAATAAAAACCAAAGGCTGCTTAGAAGTAGCAAAAAAGTACTTTTCTTCCCAAAAATCACAAGTAATAGCAAAAGATTTTTAAGTGTGAAATCTTTCTGTGGAAGAAATGAGCATTAGGGACCTTCTCCAACAGTGAGATTTATTTTAATTGAGGGATTAGTTTTAACAGCAGAGTCGAGAGATTCCAAGGAGTACAAACAAACATACAGAGCCTCATTTCCATTTATTATCGTTTTACTACAAATCAAACAAACCTCAAATGAACTGCAATAAATCGCTTAGCCATCTCACGCATTTTCAACACGACTTTCGAACCAAGTTCCTGTATTGGTTTGGTAAATCTCAGTGCATGATAATTAACTCGGCAACGCAACTTCTGAAGCTCTGGATCAAGGTCGTTTGCTAGCCTGTAGTCAAATTTGTAAAGCTGAACAACCTGCACATATTATACACATTACTAGGCT